TTGCATTATATGGTCATATTTTGATATTTTAAGTTATATCAGAATTTATCTGCATTTTAAAAAAATTGCTGCCTGAATGTTTTTTTTCATGCTAATATGAAATCCATATATTAAATCCTAGATTATAGAAACAATAAAGTTCTATGTTGGTCTATGACTGTAATGAAGATTTGATTTGAATAAAAACTTTGTGTACTTCCCATTATTTCACAAGAGTAATTTTAATAACTCCTTAAAGCTAATCAGATTCAGTTCTTTTAAATTATAGCTTCACAGTGCTATATGCCTTCTAATCATTTCTTGACAGTCCTCCATTTCTAACATTCAGCACCATCTCTTCCCTATTCGTAGTGGTATCTTTATAGAGTAAGAGTTATGTATGATTCAGTGATTACTTTTGAATTCTGTATAGAAAAGTCACAAACTCACTATTGTTTTCATTTCATGACTTTGTGGATTAATAATTCACATCCTCCTCTTTTGATTTGTATGAATAATGTGAGCAGAAGATATTCATTCTTAATACAAAAGAATATTAATCTTGTGACTTTTTTGGATGTTAATTTTATTGCCCTAACGAATACACCAATTTTAGATGAGAATTGCAATGCAGTAATATTTGTAAGTATGCCATTTTCACAGTGTGCTTTGATAGAAGGCAACTGGCTAGTGAATTCTTCTAATTCCTCCATCTTGCTAGTCAAGAATCCAACAAAGAGATGGTAATAGTAATACCCCTTATTACCTAATCACATTCTGATCAGGCCCAATATATTTTAATAAAATAATGAAAATTCCTCCATTCAAATGTAAAGATATTGAAGGTGAGGAAATTGCTTCTAACCATAACATGCTTGAGTTATTGATCAAAAATGTAACACAGAAATCCAAACAGAAATATCTCTTCGAGTCTTGTTAGTTATTCATTTTCATTTATTTCTTTTATAGGTTTATAAATATTATCCTCTTTTAGTCTTAATTGTATTGGATGGGTTTATTGTACGTGAAATGAAATATACTGGGAGAGAAATTCTCAGGATCCATAAGATCTATTTCTGTATTAGTGTTTTAAAATGGTTCTTAATTATATTGATAAAAATATCAGTTATTGTATTTTTTTATTATCATATAAATCAGAAGTTATGTCACCCCATAGAAGATTTCTTGATCCCTTAAATTCTACAGTATTCTTTCTGGAAGACATTAAAAAGATTTCTATTGAAGTTTTTTCTGACTAAAAACTATGCAGGATATATAAAATAATGTAATTTATCAGAAATAAATTCTCCCCAATATAATGTATTGTCTTCCAATGCAAAAATGCATGAACAATCATATTTTGGTTCTTAGATTTGTTATCATTTGCTTGAAATTTCCTTTGTAAAATAGCAACCTGGTCAGCTCCTAACCCATTCTGCCTTTGCTCAAAAGTCATAATGTCTTGAAAATATTCATCTGGCTCAATGTACTTTCAGACTTGCAAGATTCTGTTAATATAACTCTTCTATAAAGTATAATGGTTCATCTGGCCGTGTTTCCTGTCTGGCCTACCTTGCAAAGCTGACACCAATCTTGCAAGACTAAAAGTACATTTCTACCTCTCCATCCCTTTTACAGCCCAGGAAACTTGGGTCTCTTCTGAGCCTCTTACCCCATCCACATTCCTTGTGGGGGCTAAGTTGCTTTTGATCTGACCATTCCCTTGGCTGTATTTCTTTATCTCCCAATACCATTAAAGTCACCCACCCACTTTGATCGTATCATTTATTTATTTAAATTATTTATGTTACCGTCCCTCTTATGCACCATAACCCTGGGCAGCTTGTAAACAATAATACAGTAAAAAGCATGAACTCCCAGTGCCTCCCAAAAACAACACATGCCCCAAATCCAGAAATAACTTTAATGAGGTGTGGTCTCCTACTACTTCGGTGCTTTTGAGAAAAACCAGGTTGTCAAAGCTCTTTGGAAAATGAGGAGCCTATTGGATCCCAAAGGGGGTGGTGCTCCAAAGAGCAGGGTCTGTTATAATGTTCAAAGGTATTAAAAGCCTCTGGGAGGTGAATTGCTGCTACCCCATTCATACTATAAGGCACGTATTAATGCTGTCTCCATGCAAGGAATCAGATAATCTGTTTCCTTTGGACCCCTCTTGAGCCAAACCACTTTTTCCACAACCCTCCCCCCAAAGGGGATATTGGAGATTGGTCAATAAATGTGCAGTATGTATGAGCTGAGGAAGGGTATTTTGAGATGCCCAAATATCTAGTACATTCATGGTTTAGCAGGCTCTAAATTACGTTTCCTAACCCACAAATCAACGACTCTTACTAAATTCCTAAGGAATGAGTATATAAAGACAAAAGCCCGCTAAAATGCACAAAAGAATCTTAGCATGTTGACTGTGAAAATAACTGAATGTTTCACCATAGAACAAAATACAGATACACGGGGCACTTGGAAAATGGCCCTAACTTAGTAGTGAGATTCTTTTAGTCCACAATAGTGGATTAAATTGCTATGCTTCAAGAAATTAATCACCCACATGGAATATTCCAATTTCTTAGTTCCTCATTGATGGAAACAGTAATAATGCAATTGCAATGATGACAATAATATATTCAAATAAATAAAATAAAAATAGGGTAAATTCAGAGTTCATTGCTTTCCCACTAGAAATATCCACATTGATATTCTACCCTTAGAGAACATCCTAGTAATAATTGGGCTTGTCTTTAAATTCACTTCACTACCGTAATTAGATCGTGTGCTTTTTTTAAAAAACCCTCTCATTGAGGGCATTCTGGAATTGCCTCTAATCAGTGGATTAATTAAATAAGCTTAATTTATATTGCAACAAATACAAAAGCTGGTTACATGGTTGATAGGAAATGAAGAAACAGCTGTTCCATACAGAGATAAAGAGATCTTTTTAAAGTATGTAGCAGCTTTTAAGAGACAATGCTGTCTCAAGAAAAAATAGCCTTAAGTTTTAATTGGATAAAAACTGGAACCTGAGATGGAAAGTTAGTATTGGCCATTTTGGCATTCTAGCAATGCTGACACTTTGGATGCAGGCTGAACCAGCTGTACTTGGAAATTAAAACAAGCCACTGCTGATGGCCTTTGATACTGTAACCAAAATATGGGGTATTCCTTTGAGATTAGTGTCACTAAGATAATAGATACGCAGGAACAAGAACACAGAGACATTTAGTCTAGCTTTTATAGGAAGAATTTAATTATCTATACATGTAACTAATTGTAAAGACTGTATTACAATTGTTAAAGCTGCAGGTTTTATATATTTATATATTTTACATTCATACCAATGAAAATACTGAAGTGCAAGTGTATAAGGAGCTTCTCTTGTTCTTTGCACCATGTGAATTGACATAAGGAATTACAACATTGCCAGCAGAAAATTTAGATAAAATACATAAACAAACGGAAAAAGTTAAGGTTATTAGTAAAGTTGCTATATTGTGCTTCAGGCATAGGGCTTTTCTTCCTATGTGCTGGCTGCACCAGATATTTAATTGAGAGCTTATAACTAATATTTAAAGGACAAACATAGCTTAGGCTACAACACATCTACATAAAATTTAACTGTAAGCTCCATGTAATGTTACTTGTATAAATTCCACAGTCTAGTTTAAAAAAAATGTAAACATTGGAAATTAATTGCAGGAAGGTATTTCTATACATTCTTTTGTCAAAATAAGATACTTGCTTAAAGGGTCTGTTCCATAGTTATTAAATTACAGTGATGATAAAACTTCAACTTGAAAATGCATGTTAATTCTCAAGAAATAGATAAATGCTATATTCTTTTATTTTTATATAAAAAGGCAAAAAAAACCCAAAGAAATCTGAGACACAGAACAAAAAGGTGCTTATTATGTGTAGTTACAAATAAATGTGCAAAATATAAGGTAATGGGAATAATTGTATTATACACTTATATCCTTTCTTGCACATGGAAGGAAATTAACTTCTTGTCCATGATGTATTTATACACACACACACTCACAGAGACACTAAAAGAACACCAAACATATCACAATACAAGGTACAAATACCTTAAGCTGAACTTTTAATTGAGCACATTTTAGTTTTCTTTAAACCAAACTAAATCCTGTTCTTTTAGTAGTACATAAAAAGGAAAAAGACAGACACCAGGTACACTGGACAAGTGAAAAACAAAACAAAACAAAAAAATACAAGTCTCAGATTTATGGACATTTGGAACAATTTTAATAATACATGCAGCATTCCTTGATAGTGGGTCTTTTTGCAATGACAAAATTGCAATGACAAAAATGCTTTTTTTAAAGGCGAAAATAGGCATTTTAAAATATTGATACCCTTGAAAGCACCTATGCCAAGGTGAGAAATAGGTGGGTAACTATGAAAGCCACAAAAGGACCCACTATCCTGTGTTTTTGACTCTTTTTGTAATTTTGCTTCTATATCTTAGATATTAAGTTAAAAACATTGCGATTACATGCAACTAATGTAAAATGAGGTAAACTGCTCTGCAGTGTGTTCTTCTACTCAGAAGGCAGTAGATGATCATGCTGGAAGTCACATGATCAAGGCTGCATCTCCCATCATCCCTCTGGACAGTGATATGGGATAGTGGGTCTCTTTGAGGACTTTCAAGCCTGAGTGGGGGATGGACAACATATGATTCCTAGAAAAAGGAGGAAAACAACACATAAGCAAAACAAAACAATGAGCAAAATTCAAGCTAGGAAAATGAGCCAGGCATGTAAACAGCATGGTGCAAAATGATAAAGGTATCATGCTACAAGGGAAATGGAACTCAAAACCAACACAAATTTAGGCTTGCAATATAGAAGGTCTTCAAAGAGAGTTAGGCAAATATATAGCACAGCCAAGCTCCACATTCTGCAAAACACAGCAGAGTTATAGCAATGCTGCATGTTTCTTTTTAAATACTATCTTAAGCAACTATTGAGAAAAGAATCACTCACATTGCTGGCTTGGATCCATATCAGTTGTTAATTTCACGTAGTTGGATGGGAAGAGACCCACATGCCCATTCACTTCTCCTTTCCACCAATCAGGGTCTTCTTTATTAAGGACATTAATGATCTGGCCTTTGTTGAATGCTAGTTCATCATCGTTTTGTGCAATGTAGTCATACATACCAATCACTTGGCACACTGTAAAACAATACGTAATTAATAAGGCTAGGTATTTTCATAAAAGAAAAAAATTATGTACAAGGGACATATCACTACCTACATCACTCACAGGCCTAAACTCATAATATAACCTGCACACAAATCAGCAGTCTCAAGGTACATTCAGAATTCTCACTTCCCAAAGCTCTGGTATCAAACTCATGGTAAGTTGGTTCTATGTGGTTATAGCACAGACCAAGTATAAATTGAACTGGCTGGATGGAATCTTAATTACATAATTACATAAAACTTCCTAACTTTTCCTTACATTTTCAAAAACACTTTAAAAACAGCGAGATGGACATCTGTATGAACATATTTATTTGTTTGATTTCTAATGCTGCTTACCTGACAAACAACTCTAGGTGCTTTACAAAAGCACTAAAAACAGTAACTTTAAAAAAAAGCAAACACACAACAAAAACACCCTGCTGTGGACAAAGGATTGATTGATCTGGAATTCAGAGAATAGGGGATGCTGTTCCAAATGGCAGCTGCAGAAACAGAGAAGGCAGCCCCTGGTCTTAGGAGTTGACATTGCTTGACTGTCCTGCAACATTCCAATTCTGCCAGATCTTGGAAAGGCAGAAAAAATGGTGAGAAATACGGACCTGAAAAAGTCCTGTGCCACCACAATGCCAAACTTTGGAGACAAAAGCCTACTCAGCTTAAGGATGATACCCAGTCCCATTCCGATCACTGGATCAGACATGAAGATGGACTATTAGTTTCTCTTTCTATTCAACTTTCTTCACTGCCACATGGTCCTCAGTTTATGAGCGCTCATTGTTCTCCACTTTTTACCTCTTTTAGAAGAAATTAAAAAGACACAGACAAAGCTGCTATGCTGATGCTGTAGGGAATGGAAAGGTAGTTTAAGAACTGTAGTATGCTGGAGAAAACAAAAATGCAACAAAGGAGATTATGACAATGTGAGCTAACATCTACTAAGACAGGAGTCTTAGTTTTCTGTATTAAGCCACTTTCTGGAAAGTCAACTTATTTTTGCAGAATAGTTAATGAGTCCTGCTGGTAAATACCCTGAAGAATCTCTAATGAGCAGAAGAGCTGATAGAATTCCATTTAGACTGGACAGAGGAAAAGTGGATTGTTCTATTTTTAAAAAGGATTGGCTTAAAGTCCAACTTCAGAGAGGCTGAAGGCTTTTGAGACCTGTTTCTTGATTTTTTTAAAATACAATCAGTTGAAAAGTACTACAAGGAACACTTATTCCACCTCTATTTATTCCATGTGCCGAGCAATATCTTAGATGTAAGTTGACTGTATTAAGAGTTAAAATATTTTTTCCAACTTCCAAAGTGGTTGTCAATTTCCATGTAGCTAATTAGACATATGTTGGATCAGAATAGATGGGCAAGTCTTAATATCTAAGGAAAACTATAGTTTGGCAGGCAACAAGTGCCTGTTATTTTAGCAATTACTGGGTGTACAAATAAATGATGTATTTTTCCATTCAGGTATGTGTGGTATTCTTAGTGTATGCACGTGTGCTTGTGTATAGATGGCTGGTAAACTCCATTTCCATATATCAGTTTTTTGCATTACCAGATTCTCAATGACCCTTTTTGGAATGTTTCTGTTTGAAATTTGTATGAGAACTTTATGAGTTTGACTTTATAGGGAAATGAACAACCAAAGTGTTTCTGAATGATTGCCTGACTAAATATAATTACTTCCCTTGTCTGATACTTGTTTAGTCAATGTAATATTATCTGAAAAAAATCCTTAGGTGGAGTACTGCCGTGAAGCATAAATTTTTTGCTTCTGGTCACTGAAAGCAGGAATGAGCTGGTTATTTTGATAAAGATGCAAAATTGCCAAAGGAGAACTAGCTTGATGGCATGGGATTATGATATACAATGGCAGATTCCCTTTAAAAAGTGTAATATACATTCTTATTAAAGAATGTGGGAAGGTAGGTATTTTAACTCTAGGGGATAGATGTTATGAAGAGAATGCTCTGAAGAACTGGGAAAAAATGTTTTGTCTGTCTCTTTAGCCATTTGGAGATCTTGGAAGTTCTTGATATAATTTGGTACTCCACAATATGAATCCTTTCAATTTCCAATTTGGCAAGTTTAGGTTTGAACATGAGTTTTTAATTTTTTAAAATTTGTCTGAAATTGGTCATTTGCATTTGAAGTGAAGGAAACTGTAGCCTGATTCGGAGCCCTTATGACCTCTGGCTGCTTTCTGATATCTGCATGCATATTTAAACTATGTTCAAGAACATATTTGACAAAAGGTTCAATAATGATGGATAATATTATACAGAAGACAATTTGACCACTCCTATTTATTTTATGTGCAAGTTATACCCAGAAAGGAGCTCTGCGAACAATATTTTAGATTTAATAAAATAGTCACTCAAAAAGACAGTGGATTTGTCAAAGACTCGCCAGTAACTCACTCGAACGATGCATCTGAAATGTATTTGGCTTTTAAAAAGAAAAATTAATTGGAACAGTATGAAATCATCTTTGAAACTTTGAATTAAAGTTTTCCTAAAAGAGGGAATTCTTTGTATAATTCGATTCAACAATATTACTTACCTGAAGGTAATGCTGTTGATTTAGGGGGCTCAGTTGGTGTGGTTTTACTAGTACCAGGGCTTAAGAGTTTCACATAATTAGCAGGAAACCATCCTATTTGCCGTTTTTTCCCACGAGCCTAATGAGAAAGGAATATCAACTTATTTTCAGCAAATCAGGAATACATACGTACCTACCATAAGCAAAACTAAACATGGTTTGTGTTACTTATGGGTATAATAAATGAACTTTAAATACTAGTTAATATTTTTATATATGCAAAATTCTAAAGCAAAACCAGTCACTTACTTGGAGTTCTCCTTCCCACCATCCCCCAGGATTCTTCTTCCTTATAAGTATTAGCTGACCAGGAGCAAGAGTAAGCTGTTCAGGGCCTGTTGCTGTGTATGAGGCAATGACTTGAGCTATTTCTGTTCATATATTAAAAAAAAATATTTTCATTAATCTGAAAGTTATACTTTGACTTCAATTACCCACACATCTATTGTACTTCCAATTATCCCAAGAGACAGCCCATTTTACATCATCAATATATATTAATTGTAATACACACACACACACACTCCTTTTATAACATAATATTGGGGGAAAATAGAACAAAATAAGAAAATATAAGCCATGAAATTATTATATCACTTATGCCCCAAAGACCAGTTACGGCATTCATGGCGGGCATCCAGGCATGAGCATGTATATACAATATGCATATCTATTATACAGGACCAAATTTATTATAAATAATTACTTTCTTCTACAGAACTAAACCAAAACAATCCATTGCCTCTTTGCTTATTACTAGCAGAATGGCAATGTTACTGACCTCCTTTTCCTAGACAAAAGAGCCAGCTGCCGGATTTCCTAGTGGTTGCAAAGGGAGAAACCTTGGTCCTAACTCCTTTTACTTTGTTTAGGCACATGATAGATGCACCACATCCTTCTGGATGCTGCACAAAGCCTTCAGGTTGCCTACAAATGGCTTATGGTATTAAATAATTCCAAGCCTCATTTTTGTGACCCCTGAAGCCAATCCCAACTACACTGCAAAAGAATACAAGGGGTCAGGGCATCTGCTGGACCTATAAACTAGGTTTATTGAAATATACGTATTGATGGTTGTTTTCTTGCTGTTTTGTTATCTTGGTTTCCAACTGTTTATTTATTTTGTGTTTTTTCTTATTTTTTTCTGGATTTTTGTACTGTTGTTAGCCTCCCACAACGACTTATATGAAATGGACAGCCATATAAATTTAATGAATGAAGAAATAAAAAAGAGCAATTTCCTAATTCCCTCCCTTGTTAAATTACGCTAATTTTTCCAAAGAAGGTAGTATTTTAAATATTATAAGATTGTAAGATTTTTGCTAATGCTAATAAATATTTTTTTTATAAAGTACAATATCTAATTGTATGGGGTGGGAGAGAATACTGAACTGAAGCTTAAGAATCAATCCGAAAATGGCAAAACAACAAGAGTTACTATAGCTGTAATACTGAATCCTAAACATACACCTCTCCCCCAAAATTATATATTGCAATTTCACATTGATGACTACATTTTATTTTGCAAAGCTCGAGTTGGATTACAAAGCAATTCCCTCCTTTCTTTGCAGTCTGACAGTACATAGCAGTTAACAAAATTATATATAACAATGAAATTTAACCCCACTTTGCCTGGTACAAAAATTTGACAGAAAAACTGAGGGACGGAGACAGAATAAAACTTTTTTTTCCGGATTTAATCTTTATTGGTTTTTTAAAAGTCAAAATTTCGATTATGACATATTTCCTAATATTTTATTTTTAAATGATACATAAAATAGTTGAAATACAAAATAAATTGTTATGTTTGGAAATTCACCAAAATGGATAATAGGTTAATTTGAAATGCTCATCCCTATTATATTTTTAAAAAATCTTCAAAATAAATAAAAAATGATTTTAGATTCAGAAAAAGAGACTAATAAAATGATTCATCTATCAAAAATTATATTCTGAAACATTTCCATTTTTATTTTTTCAAATACAGAATAAAATTAGCAGCTTATATCCTTTAAAACATCTCAATTCATACAATAATTTGAAAACAGAAGAGTGAGAAATATTTTACAAATGCTACATCATTTTCCTCAGAGTACAGTTTACAGCTTACCAGGTTTCTTGCTTAAGCTTCCTGTTTTTCCAGCAGTTCCAGGAACCTTTAAATAATAAGCATAATTTTAAATTCAACAGTAGAATATTTTACAAAACAAAGTTAGGTTAAAAGGGGCTATTCAATTAATTCTTTTTTCTTACTAAATGTAGCAATCTACATAAACTAATCTGTATCATAATTTTTTTAAAAAGATGGATTCATCACCAGTTCGCTTCTACTCAACAGTGAGACAACGCTGATGTTCTTATACTCCTAGGTGGAAGATTTTTTTTCCTGCCATCTAAATCTTTTCGGGGTTGGTTAAATTGCCAGCCTTTCTATCTGGCTTTGAAGAGAGTAAGCAGAGTCCTTGAGCACTCCTCTCTCTGCCAATTTCAACTCTGCCCTGACAAGCTGTAGTCAAGCTCCACCACCATATGAGGAGGAAGCGTGGGTACCTCAATACAAAAAAACAGAGCCATGCTAAAAACAGAAAAACAGATTGGAGAGATTGGTGAGAAGCTAGGGTTTTTTCTTCCGTATACAGTAGGGGTGTCCAAATTGGGAATTTTAAAGATTTGTGGACCTCAACTCCCAGAATTCCCCAGCCACTCATGCAGACTTGTGGAGTTGAAGTCCACAAGTCTTAAAAGTTGCCAAGGTTGGACACCTCCGATACACAGCCTCTTGCCTTAAGCTGGGACATAGACTGCCTTTCCCTCGGGTAGGACTATCAGAACATTCTTCTCTGCCCTTGTACTGTATATCACTTAAAGGGTTTTAATTTGAGACAAAATGCTGCAATCATGTTGGTCTCCAGAATAACTATAGAAATCATATTAACTGCTTCTTAAATTTTGCATTAGCTGCCAATTTCTTTCCCCGAAGTATTATTTACTATTTTTAAAGCCCTAATGGGCTTGGGTATAGGATACCTGAGAGTGCCTCCTCCTACAAGATACTCAATGCCCACAAATATCATCCAAGGAATCATGTTCCAAGTGGCAACTAGCCTTTCTAGCTGTCATTCAGAATTAAATACAGTATTGTTCTTGGTAGCTCTGCACATGTGGAACCCACTTCTTAGTATAATATGGATTTTGCTATTCAAACTGGCCTTTAGACAGTTTTGAAAACATGTTGCTTTCCACTGGCCTACAAGTTTAATTATTCACTGAAAAATATTTACCTCACTTGTCAAAATAATTATTATATTTTAATATAAAATGTTCTATTTCTATATACATTATATTTTAAAATGTAATTAGACATTTGGTATTTATATATGTTACAAAGGAACTTAATTGATGTGTGATTTAAGAACCAAATCTATTAATAAATATATACATATCTCAAAATAGAAAATAGACCAAGTCATGATGATCAAGATCTAAACACAATAAGTTTGTGTAAGTTGTATAAGTATTAGCAATAAAGAATTGTCCATACTGTTACTTAAGAAAAAAAGATGACAAGATCACTTAATCAGTGTTTTATATTAACTTCAGTTGCTTAGTTCAAATAAATGTAACACTGTTCATGCATTACCAAAAAGTAAATCCTGGTTAATTTAAAATGATTTAGACCACAACTGTATACTTTAATATGCTTACAAATATAAATTTATTTTATGCTAATAAACAGAACACATGTACAATATATAGATGAATAATATTTTAAGCATAATTGATCCTCCAGAACACAGTAATTCACCAGAATCTGAAATACTCTTCAGAATCTGAGGAATATTGCCAATGAAAAAAACTACTTTTGATATAGTTTAGTTCAACATATCTTATGTTTCTTCCTTTACCCCATCCTTATTTAATTCAAGAGCTTGTAATCATCAATCATATTTGAAATATTCAGTCACATAGCAAAATTATTTCTAATAAATATACATGTATGAATTTTACCTCAGAGTCTTTGAGTCTAACATAGTTACATGGAAATACTCCAGATTTTTCACCCAGCATTCCTGTCCACCAATCACCATCTTTCTTGGTCACAAGAATTAAATCTCCCTGCTGAAATGTTAAATCTCCTTGTTCAGAGCTCTCATATGTATACATAGCAATATATTCTAAAAAGCAAAATGATTTGGAAGTGAGAAAATGCTTATAACTAATTAATTTGCAGATTAGTTTCATGCAATGTGACATACACTAATTTCTGATCTTAGATTTTCTCTTAAATTGGATTTTTAGTCGTCACAAATTTACTACAGGAAGGTTTTAGAATAAAAACAAAAACAATTTCAGAGGGATTACTTTCCCTGCATTTTCTCTTAGCATGTGAATACTAAAAAGCAGTCATTCTGTTTCTCTGTTTAAGTAAGGAAACACTTTTGAAACAATGATCCAATGGGGCATAGGTTGTCTAGTTTATTTATTAAATTTATATGCCACCCATCTTACTATCCCAAAAAACAAAGTTTATAGTTAATTGCATGTTTTCTACTTAAATAGTTCTAATCATAAATAAAAATTTAAACTAATATTCATTTTCTCTATCAGACAATAATTTCTGGACATATAAAGCTCAATGGCCTACAAAACACTTTTAACTAAATTCTGGATATTGGCAGCTCCAAAAGCTGTGTGATAACTCCTCCTCTGTTAAAGAGAAAAAGTAAAACTTCTAGTTTTTGGACTTTAATATTCTCATCATAGTATATGAAGGCCTAACTATAATAGCACTTCTTGTGTAGTTCTTAGATTTTAGTTCTCAGTCCAAAACAAAATACAAAGTTTGGGTGAAGTTATTACAAAAGGGATAAGTGCTTTAACTACTAAAGCACAAAGATCTAGACATCTTTGAATGGTATGATGAAATAATGAAGACAAAGTAATTTAATAAATAGAATGTTAAATCCTGCAAAGGGGGGGGAGAGGGTTAAAAATGAAAGTATAGGATGATGGAAGCTTAGCTTGGTAACAATGCACCTAAAAAGGATTTGGGTATTCTAGAGCACAAGTTCAACAAGGGCCAGAAGTGTGAAACAGCTGCTAAAAAGCAACTGTTATTTTGGGATGTATTAACAAGAATAAAGTCTGCATTACAGGACTTATTTTGTAGGTCCACTTGGATACTGTGTCAAGTTCACACTTATAAAAAAGACACCAGCAAATTGGAGCAACTTCAAAGCAGGGCTACCAAAATGGGGAGGAAGGGAAACACAAATTATCTGAGGACACTGGATATGTTCAGATTGTAAAAGATGAGGAGAGATATGATTGTAATGTTTAGATTTCTAAAGAGCAGATTTGTTTTCTATTGCTCTGGAAGGCAGAATCAGAACCATTAGTTGAAAGTATCAGAAAGTAACTTCAGGGTAGGTATTAGGAGGAATTTCCTGATGATAAAATTGCAAATTAATGGAATAAATACCATGTTTCTCCAACAATACGGCCTCCACCAATAGGAAGGCCCAGCATGATTTCTAGGCATGAGGTGAAATTAAGCCCCGCCCCCAAAATTTAAGCCTATTCAAACCATGCTTTCCCCCGCCATTTCTCACATCGTTTGTTAGAACTACACGAGGTGAAGAGAAATGGGCGGGGGAAGGGCAGGGGTGGGGTGGGGAGAAAACTTGCCTTTAGGAGTGCCCTGCAGGTAGCCTAGGATAGAATACCCCGATAGCTGATAGAAGCTCCCTGAAGGCAGAGTCCCCAGCCGCTTCAGGGCATGGCATGGCTACCCGTGTCCCCTCGCCTTTAGGGCAGTCTCTTTCGGGCGATGGAAGCTCCCCAAATGCAGTCACCGGCTACTTCAATCGGCTGGTAGAAGCGGTCCCACAACGAGGGGAGTGTGTGTGCCATGCCTCGCCCCGAAGCGGCTGGGGACTCTGCCTTCAAGGGAGCTTCAATCGGCCGGTAGAAGCAGCCTCAGGGTGAGCGCACACACACACTCCCCTCGCCACGAGGCCGCTTCTATCGGCAGACGAAAGCTCCCTTGAAGGCAGAGTCCCCAGCTGCTTCAGGACGAGGCATGGCTGCCCATGTCCCCTTGCCTTTAGGCAGTCTTTTTCGGGCGATGGAAGCTCCCCAAATGCAGTCACTAGCCACTTCGATCGGCTGGTAGAAGCGGCCTCGGGTCGAGCACACACACACACACACACTCCCCTCGCCACGAGGCCGCTTCTATCGGCAGATGAAAGCTCCCTTGAAGGCAGAGTCCCCAGCCGCTTTGGGGTGAGGCGGGGCTGCCCGTGTCCTCTCGCCTTTAGGCAGTCTCTTTCGGGCAATGGAAGTTCCCCAAATGCAGTCACCAGCCACTTGGATCGGCTGGTAGAAGCAGCCTCGGGG